CAGTATGTTGGTACACGTCATTTTTCCCTATAAATAGAAGATGACATAATTCCCTATAATATCTTACATGCAGGAACTGGATGCTTATGAGTAGGTAGGCTGGTTTTGATACGTATTAAGGTTCAAAAACCCAAAATTTCATTGTGCTAATTTTGTTTACATGTTTTGTTTACGTTGTAGTTGCTCGAATTTGTGAAGTCATACAATGATGTATCGCTTTGCATGACGTTAATAAAGGCCCAGGTATACTATAAATACGCTTCTAAGCAATATGGATTATTTTCTTGCTTGTCACGCTATTGTAAACAGCACCAGCCAAACTCCGGCAAACGCGTTTTCTGAACTTTACAGGTCGATTATGTCGTGTCAAAGTGGGTGTATGTGACTATGAATATCATAGCAGTGACTGTGTGTACGAGTTGAGATTTTGGCGGATAAAAGTCAAAAACACGAACCGGGGCAATGGACGTGCTACTAAGCTTGAATAATTAACTGCTGTCAATCAAAGTCACGTGACGTTGGACCGCTGAAACAGGATGCGTCATCTAAGCTCCACGAACATTTACACAGTTCCTAATGCGTTTCTCAGTATCACATAGCGAATTCAACGAAGACAATGTCATTGACAATCGTGTTTTCAAATTTAAAACTGCGCCACAGAGAGTACGAGCCAGAAATACCCCTATTTGTGTTATTGAAATGAATTTAATATTGTTTACTGTTATTGTCTGAGGGTGTGTACGTGGTGATAGAGCATGTTTCGATAATAACGCAGCCTATGACGGCAAATGGATCGTAAATGAGACCAATTTTGCTTATTCGTGGTAACGCAAGGCTGGCAAAAACAGAAATTACATTCGTTTTCTCGGGAGTCCCTTTCTATTGTCAGGGTCAGGGTCGGGAACAAATACGCTGTCAACTAACCCCGCATTCGTGGTGATTCGTACTGATTCTCATCTACAATCAACACCCATTCAGAGTGGATAAACAGGGCGCGGATGGCAACTTCTTGTGCTTCGATAACGCTAATGGTTGACTGAAACACGTAAAGAACCGAAATTAAAGTATGACACTTACCGAAATATTCACATCTTGCATTGTTCGCCATCTATGGTGTGGCAATATATCCACTCATTCCCGTTGTACGTGTGATACCACGGGTACAATTTCCTGTCTGGTGTTGGAGAAAAACGGACAATGCCCATGGGGTAGGGTGCATGAAGTTCTACTGGTGGCCGTAATGTGTGTGACGTGTTTAATCTAGTATTGAACTCACACACTTGTTATTTCAATAATTTCATTGATTGTAAAGGAAGACTAGTTTAGACCCGTTTAGCGGGAATAACGAACACTTCCTGTTATTTTCAAAGTGATGTTAGATGCCCAGTCTGGAAGTAGTTTTTCACATAGATTAGTAACAGCACCATTTCACTATCATGTCACAAATTTTGAGAGATATTTCGCTTATTTATAGTAAAACAGAACAAATAATTCCGACACGTCGCACATCTACGGGTGAGTTTGTAAAACGTGGAAATAACGAAAATATTGTCATCACATCGGAGATTTACTCTGATGCGTTTGTCTATCGTAGTGACGAACACTACTGCTAGGTTTATATTTACTGAGGTTCACGTGTCCTCGTCGGTATAAATGTCTCGCCGTTAACGGGGTGCCTCAATATTTTCTGTTCCGGTTTTGTGTTATGGTGTATGTACATAGTCCTAAATGGCTCGTCCCAGAAACTTGAAGTATATAGTTAGTCAATGCCACATCACATCGTAGCACGTCCCTTATTAAAGAGCACCTTCAAGTTAAGCCTAATCTCACAACAAATTTACCCTTTGGGTTAAAATAAAAATGGATAACAAAAGATAGATAAACATTGTAAACAACATAAACAATAGTGTCCCATGATTCTTTGGTGCAATCCATGGGATTGAGCGGTTCCCCTTTAACTGCGTTATTAGTTTTGTCGTAACGGGATGCCTAAGTAGCCCAGGTCTATGCTCTATAGAGGCAAGCCTGACTGGACCGTTACACGCATCGATGTTTACGGAGCTTAGTGTTATCAGCTTGTAAATAAACTACAGGTTTCTGTAAATATAGGCTATGCAAGTTATTAACAACATTCATTAGCATAGCCACACCTCCAATTCACACTTGCCCAGTGCAAGTGAATCGGATCTTTAAATTTGCCGATTTTAATGAATATTCTGACGGTCTTGCAATCTGTCTGACTTCCTGACTCCTTCGGTCCGGGTTTGAACGGTTTGTTTACCCGCAACGCGGTTCGAGACAGAAGAACGCTAGTCGTTTCAAGACCGGAGATAGAGGCAATGTGCATGAACATAGTCCAGTGTTTCCTGAACTCATGAATATGTATATATGACATTTAAAAGCCTGAGGTCACCCCGCAAATAAACAGTTTTGTTCAGCGGTGAGTGAATGAAGAGCATTGAACGGGCTGCATTGTTTCGTTGTCGTAGTAGTCTGTGTGATTCGTGGTCGAAAAGGTAAATGGTGGATACTGTGAATGAACATAATAGTCAGAAAACATTTTGATTCAGAGATCGCGTCTGATACATTGTCCGCGGCTTTAACGCCAATAACGTCGTGGTCGGCGTATCCAAACTCGTCAATCTATATACACGATCTCAGTTGATTATGAACACTTTGTTTTTCCAACAACAGCTACTTACAACTAAGTAACGACTTGCTATACTGCAAGTGTTCCGGTGAGCTGCGAGTGATTGTCGGCTATTCAACAAAAACAGGTACGTCGTGTTTTTACGTAAGTTTCAGATTAAGATAAGTTTTTGATTTCAACCACAGACAGTCGTGGTTTTACTGCCTCTAAGTACCAGTGAAACCAGGGTCAAAGAGAAAACATAGCCGCAGTTGTACTTATATCTGGGACCTATTTAAGGTCACAACACGTGTACCTTTGTCTCATTAGATATGCTATTATAACAGGGAGATAAACATATGTTTAGCGTCGTGGTGTCATAGGATTGTTACGCCAATCAAAGCAAGTTCAAGCACGATATTAGCGAACCTATCGTCGCATTTTACTATACGTGTCTATGGTGTAACTGAGAAGATGTTTTTCTTACTGATGAATAACTAATTAGGTATGAACACTACTATATAAATGCCCTGACCCTAGACAGTATGTCATGACCCCATCATTAAAATGAACATGCGTGGAATAACAATGCCGTAGGCATTTCGCTGTCATCTTTTAAACCATAGATAATTGCCGAATGCAAAACAGATCTTCATATCGGAGTTATTTTTCCCCCTTTCTTGCCAGACAGTCTTGGCTAGATAGTGTTAACATTTCGGAGCTTTGTCAATGTTGGAACAAACTAAAAAAAACAAGCCATGCATGGCACAGTCCCCGTTAGTTATCAAATTTAAGATATATAGTTTTGTTTATAGTAATATAGCTGGAATATAACCATGTCAGAAATATGATTTTTTTAACATTAAAATGATTGACATTTGTATCTGATTGTCAAACAAGTACTTGTCCATAAAAATATTGAGAGATATTGCTCTGGAACAGCATTCAAAATCAACCATTTTGAATACATGTATATATATATAACATGATTTATAACGAATATATAAAATTTGAACATAATCAGTCAAAGCATTTAAGAGACATGGCTCTAGAACCACATTCATTAAAACAAAATGGCCTCCAGCCGGCCATTTTGAATCTTATCTGAAAAACAAAATTATTTGCATAAAGGGCCCATAATGTCTAATGTATATACAAAGTTTTAACAAAATCCATCTGTAAACAGCCGAGAAATGCTGGATTTTTAGGATTTTTCAGCACAAAAATGGACGCCATTCGGCCATCTTAAATCAGATCGTAAAACAACATGTTGTGCATCAAGGTCCAACGTATATACAAGGTTTGAACAAAATCCATCTATAAACAGCTGGGAAATGCTTGATTTTGATGATTTTTAGCACAAAAATGGCCGCCATCAGATCGTGAAACAAATTGACGTGCATATGTATAATATCATGTGTGATGTATGTGTGAAGTTTGATTGTGATTGGTCCAGGCATTTCTAAAATACAGGTCCGGACGCACGCACAGACGCACGCACGCACAGACGCACGGAGGTCAAAACATAAATCCCCGTTTTCGGACTGCGTCCGAACGGGGACTAAAAACGATTTTAAAATACTAGTATAGGGAATAGATTAAAAACGCCGAAAGTTACTGTATATGGTATTTGCAAATGAATTGCTGACCTCAGTACGGTGCGCCGGTGTGCGACTTCCTGTTCTGGCTCGCTGTTTACTTATCCCCCAGACTTGGTCTGAGCCCATATAAAGCAAGATCAAGTAGTCTCAAAAAATACAAAAAAAAAAAAAAAACTGTGAAATAGTTCGCGGCGTCTGTAGTCGGGCATGTTAACTATGGCTTGTTAGTGCAATAAGTCAAAACAGATTTATTCAATTTTTCCATTTATTCTGATTTATTATAAATATTTGGACAAGTTCAAAGTTTGTGTATCTAGCTCTTATATTTTGTCAGATACATTTGTATTGGTAAAAAAAATCGCTCAGGGTAGCGAGACTATTATTTGCAAAATGACTACAAAAAGACCCAGGAAAGTATATATTTTTTGGAATCGCAAGACTACGGCGCGTTAATTAATCAAAGGTAAACAATTACTTTTTCTATAAAAGAAAATAATTTATGCTGGTGATAATAAGTATTTTTTCACTTTTCCTAGTTGTTCAACAGTCTGCTAAATTGAATGTGTCTTGTTAGTTTTATTCAAGCAACGCGTTTTAAAAAGTAGTGTACTGAATTTTAATTTCAGTTAAAGTGGCATTGCTGACAGCTCCAAGTCAAACCACAACATGTTTGTAAATAACACACGAAATAGTTTGGCTGGACACATTCATGTTCCTCTCATTGTCACCTTAAAGGGCGGCAGTCGTCGTGTCCCGTCCTGTTCGATACAGGACTCTACCGACGCATACAACGCGTGTAAAATACATTGTTTATTTACATGAAAATCGACCACGCGATGCGCGACGACCACCGCGCTTTAAAGCTGTGAAAATTTGGTGTTAATCCGACAAAAAGTATACATTTTTTTGTTAAAGACCTTGTATTTTGAAAAACATAAACTCCTAGAAAACGTCGATGAAGTCACAGCAAAGATTTTCAAGCTTGTTTACCGACACAAGCGATTTGTTTTCCCATCAAGGTCTGTTTTAACATGTGTAGGGGCATCCAAATGTGTAAGGCTATTGGAAACCAAAACAATAAGGAATGAGATAATTCGATAAAATCGGAAGATGAGAACACCAAAATCAATGATTTTTTTAGTGGCTGTGTGACCTTGTGTTTGACACATTCATATGCAAATGAAAATCTGTGAAACAGACAGGGGCGGAGACCAACCACTCAAGTGTTTGTAAACACTCATTGTGTGCCAGATAGCTACTGGTAACACATACCATGGAACTATAAACCCGGGTTTATAGTTCCATGCACATACCAACTTTATGGATTACACAAGATGGCGAAAGAGTGCAAGACCCCCCAAATGCAGACGGGGACAGTTAATTTAGTTAAGGCCATGAAATAACCAAGCAGTCGACAACGTAAACCCAAGGCTCGAGCAGTCACAGAGCAATCAGGTCTACAATAGACGCTCCCAGAAATTCGATTAGTTTTGAAAAATTGCAACGATGCTTCAGGGCTCAGACTACTCACGGAGGTGAAAAAGTGAAGGAGTAACAGCCAAAACAATCTCCCTAAAATTCTTCTGTTTTAGTCAAGTTTAATCCCAAAATACCTTTTGTCTTATCGTCCTTTCACCCCAGGATCGTCGCCGACGCGCCATCTACTCTCAAGCGTTGCTGCGTGCAGTACACACTCCAAGGTCTTGTTTTACAGCATTGCAATAAACGCAAAAGGGCATCATAAAGCATGCACACCTTTTATACTTACAAGAATCGTGTTTGTGAAAACGGGAAAGTTGGAATTTTGAAAATCGGAGAATTTCTTCTTAAGTTCATGTAATTTTTTTGTATTTTAGCGCATTTTCTGTTGTATTTTTGAATCGGCAATATTGTAATGTTTCAAAATATTGCTAGCACTGTTTTTTTACTCCAAAATAAAGCTCGTTTAATGTTTTTTGTAATGGGGCTTGACATAGACCGCACCGCGTTGTACCAGACACTGAATTTTGAGGTTCGAAATGACACTTTTTGAAGTTTTTAGCCCGTGTATGTCCTACTTCCTGTAGCAGTGTGTAAATTTTCTTTATACACAATGTACAGGAAATTCGTTGCATTTTTTTCGAGCGATCGTTTCGTTCACAGAATATTCAAAACAATTTTTCGTCTGTATTATGCTCTTCTATTTAGTTTTACGTCATCTGATTTGAAGGATATAGCAGTTTCAGCATCGTAGTCAAACTGGTGGGCGTTATCGATTGTCGCCATAATTGTTCATAAGAATTTGACTCGAATTGTCACGCAGAGTGCCACCAAAGGGACTGTGACTAAACACAATATTCATTACATTAAAACACTACTAGGGGTATTTCTGGTCCCATACTCTCTGTGGCGACTTTTTAAATTTGCGAACACAATTTTCATTGAATCCGCTATGTGATAATTAGAAAATAAATGTGTTTGGAGATTTGATGACGCAACCTGTTTCAGCGGCCCAATGTCACATGACATTGATTGACAGCAATTAATTATTCAAGCTTAGTAGCGCGTCCCTTTTTTCAGTTCTTGTGTTTGACGTTTATCTGAACTTGTAAACTAGTCTTTATCATAAATATTATATATAATCACTGCTGTGATATTCATAATCACATACATCCCTTTTGGCATGACATAATCGACCTGTGAAGTTCGAGAAAACACGCCTTTAAATGAGCTTGGCTGGAGCTGTTTACTACAGCGTGACTTTCAAGGAAATATTTCCTATGATTTAGAAGCGTATTTATAGTATACCGTAGCCTTTAGCAAGTTTGGGCGTTCCTCAACCCGTTCTGACCAATGTTTCCTCTCGTGTACGAACGTAATTGGGTCAATCAGATATGCAAACATATACGAAATCAGATATGCAAACATATACGAAACATTAGGGAAACATATACGAAACAGTAAACTTTTAACGGTAGCGACAACACCATTTGCACAATTGTGCCGAACAAATCTCGATCAGGGTCCCGATAGATACTTGGGACTAAAACTAGGCACATGTCGAGATTTGCTACCTGAACGCTCAGCACGAACCGAAAAACACGCCCTCGGTGGTGAATTTAAGAGAACATATACTGATTCATTATACATGTTGTATGACATGACGATGGAGGGCAGTGCAGCTAGATATGGCTGGATGGTATAGTAATGAATAAAATTAATGCCAAACGTTTTTGTTTTGCAATGCAATTCTGCATCGATATGAACAATATTTTTTTTTAAAATCTTCTTTGCCAATCAATATAGCATCATGTGCGTATAATTTTCCATGTTTGGGTCAAATAACAGACCGAATATTGAGGGCGTGATATTAACACGAGTCGAGTAGGTCACAAATAGATCCCTACTAACCTGAACGCAACTGCTGTAATCTATCTCCAAGGATGAATGATTAACAATGTTGGCACGTGCCGAGATCCCGTAACGTGAACAATAGTATATATGGCTACAAAAAACGTAGCAAAGTATATATTTTCAGAATCGCCAGGGTTCAAGCTTTTTAAAAATGTGTTTTTCATGTCACGTCTGACACGCTCAGATATAAAATATTACCTTTTTTTCCGAAAATAAGTATGTTAAGCAGTTAAGTCTGTGCGAAAAAGCCGTTCAGTAGTTCAGAATGAGTCTCAGCATTTGTATCCATGCGCTGCATTGTAAAAATTAACCTGCTGAATTCAAGAATAAGTTTTAAAAGCATTGCCTCAACTAAAATATCAGATTTTGAAAAACAATCCATGAAATAGTTTGTCTGGACATATTTAATTTCTTCTCAATGTCAGCTGAATGCTGTGAAAATTTGGTGTTAATCCGACAACATTAAACATACTTTATGATTTGTTAAAAACATTTTTAAAAAAAATCTATAAAAACATCTTAGGGGTATTTACATGTATGTAGCTATTGGAAACAAATCAGAAATCAAGAATGGTTTGACTATAATTCGGTAAAATCGGCAATGGAAACGCCAGAATTTCTGTGGTAGCGTGATCTCATGTCGGACTTATTGATATGCAAATTATAATCTGTGAAACAAACAGAAGCGGCAATTAAACACCACGTGTGTGTGTAAACACTCATTGCACGTTAAAATTCCAACTCACTAACTCCCCAGTTGATGCGATTATTCCAGTCAGAAAGTCAGTAGAGAAAAAAAAGATTGGTTAGCGTTAACAGGCGATAATCTGAAGAAAAAAAAACATTATCTATTCCTCTCTGTGGTTGGTCATGGCAACGTTTTAGGGAGCCGTGACATAACTCCATCTTTGACAGAATTAACAATTATCGGCGGCTATATAATTAAAGGGCTTATACACCGCGAGTGATCAATCAGCGACCGCGTTGCAGCTTGTTGCAGAGGGTGGAATTATTTAATAACAGTGAAGTCGTAAAGTAGATGTTGAGTGGGAACACAATGGGACACCACTGGTTATTTCGGACTTGGCCCTCTCAACAAAACTCAACCCTAATCAATTTCTTTCCTGCAATAGAACGAATCACTATATTGAATTATTGTATGTACACATACCATTTATTGCAAACTCTGACAATCAAGACCAATCATTCAGACTGGAGTACGGTGCACTGGATTTGATGGAAGGGGAAGGGGCGAGGCGATACACGTAAAATGACGCCAGCCTGTTTGAAGTCTTGATTACAGACAAATTCGCGTATTAGCGCCATCAATGTAAATTACTTTCGTCTATATTTGTTTTTATTTCGAATTTTCAGTTGTTAACATGGAAATGAATAAGAAAAGTGGAAGTTATAACGTTTTGCCACAGAAAGAGGGGAATGCGAATATACAAATCGATCAAGTAAGTATGAATTACGTGAATTACGTGAATATGTACACTGGTGCGTTTTTCAGCACAGTATGGGAGCTTGTGGATTTCATCCGTCCGTCCATCGCATTATCTCAGATGTTCGTGGATTGATTGAGTACATGGTTGATAGATGATGTTATACTTAGTCTTAGACCTTAGATGTTTTCTGTTCAGACACAAAATGCCCGACTGCCGGTCATATTTGAACCAACATTTTATACATGCAGAACAGTATTTTCAGCTTGTGCTCGCAGATCCTGTTCAAACTTCCGAATATTGGTAACACCTGTTGGTGTACTGAGGCACGTCTGTTTTTTGGATTTATTCCAAATTGGCTGGCTGCCATCATTGTGTCTGAAAACGATCAACAGTTTTATTCAGATTTGGTAGAGAGGCAGTATATTTTTTTCACAAACATGCAAGTGGATTATTTGCTTAGATTGTATAAGATATGGCTGGCCAGCAGGCATTTTTTTTCTTGCCCGATTGCCCGCATCTGCTCTCACAATCTAACACAACTATCCCATAATACACTTGTCAGGCAGTTCGAGTCATTAGTTCAGTATAGAAAAGGTAAATGCACATGGCTAGACTATAAATAATACATATATTTCAAGTACAGAGTACAGAAGGAGCTTACATGGCATACAGAGTAGCTTGACATGTAGGGGTAAGGAGGTCCCCGCTGACCGAACGGCATCAGACAACGCGGAGATCGCAACTCACTTCGCCAGGCTAGATACAGAGACGCTTACATTGTATTCACTTACATATAGGAAACATTATAGTTTGGGTGGACGTGCTATGCAGCCAGTTGAATACTAAACCGCAAAAGATCGACTTTGAGCGCTTTTGTTTTAGCTACAAAGTGCATTTTCGCCAGAAAAATGAGCTAATTTATATTGGGTTAAAATAATAGAATTAAACGTTAAGCTGGGGGTCAAGACAGCGGTGCATATATGTATACTTCAACTATCGGAGTACCCCATGCACCGATTATCACAATAATACCCTGATATACCCTGATAAAGATGGCACCATCTAGTGACGTAGTGTTTTTGTGACGTAAATGACGGTAAAGAAAGCACGGCAGCGTTTATGTTCTGTGGCCATGCACCAACAAAATAATGTTTTGAGAGTTTAAATTCAGTCTACCAGTAAAGGATGAATACAAACAACCTATCTCCAGCATAGTTTTTAAAGTTGTTTTCTACGCAATTTTTACGCCACACCTTCCTTCGTTGCTGTTATTATTATATTAGTCAGTTCTCTCTCGCACGCCCTTGATATGATTTTATTTTGCAATATGTTGTTATCGAATATATTGTTTGATTTCAGGATGTCATCCAAACTTGTGAAGACATTCGTGGTATGGAAGAAGGTCGTATAACCGAGGTACACCTCAACAACACTGGAGATAACGCTATGGAAAAAATGGAAATCGAGCTTGAAGAAATGCTTGACGATGGGCCAGCAGAAAACTGTTGTACCAGGGTGCGTAATCAAATAAAATCCATGGGCATACATTGCATCCTTCTTTAATTCCTCTATTTACGGATACTCATATTTTTTATGATTTTATTAAGTTGTATCGTTCTTCGAAAAAGTTTGTATGTAACAACAACAAACCATTTTTTAAAGATACGATATCAAACAGGGTCACTTAAACATTATAACAAATACACATACGCAAATTAAAGTTGTCAACCATGGATTAAATCGGTTGACATATAGAGCAGTTATGGCGTGTAAATTCCTGAACATTGCTTTTTCACCTTTTTCTCAGGGAATTGAAAGGATCCAGAACACACTACACAAGTGGTTCACAAAATACAAACGCTATCTGTGGTTATCTACAAAGGTTCTCCTCTTTGCAATGTTCGTGGCTTATTTCGTGGTTGCCTTGAAATATGATGTAAACAATGCCATATCGCTGATCGTGTTAACAAGCTGCGTTATATTTTGTGTTATGTACGCTCTTATCAGAGACCATTTTGGTGACAAAGTGTACCGTGTATGTATAAAGCCAATCAGACGGTTCATCATACAACATTACAACATAGTGAGATGGTGAGTAGCTTTTACCTACAATGCGTCACGTGCGTCCTCTGTCGGTTGACTCAAACTAGTGACGGATGGGGGGTGTGTACTCTTGAAAAATTTGTTAATACGATAATGTTAAATAACCGTCATATTCTATTTTTCTTAATATTTGGTAATTTTTCTTTCATATTTATAATATTTTAGCAGAAATAGGAAAAAAGGGTTTCCGTGGTTACCTTTGGGTTATTACGAACGGTGACACACCACCGACCATATATCCTTGTGATATCTTACCGATAACACCGGGACGAATCGTCTTAGAAAGTAATGGCTGGAAACAAATCAGTTTTCTGTTCTCATTCGTAGGTTAAGCGGTATTGTTGTGTTGGTGCTACTTATAATTTGGATTGCAGTAGACACGTCGAGGAATCCAACAAATATGCTGTCACTAGTCGGACTTGTTACCATCATTTTATTCTGTTTCATATTCTCCAAGCATCCCTCTAAGGTAAATATATCATCCCCTTTTACATGTGAACGGAACACTATAAAATCATCATATGTAATTTTCATTGGAATAAAATTTTGATATTTCGGGTAATTATAATTTTGATATTTTCAGTATATTGATTGGGAGGGGGGTAAGACAGACAATCTCTAAAAGTTACTAAGCATAATACTACAACTACCTGTGCTTTTGAGTAACAGATCACATATCAACTGTTAACTTGTTCACCCGTTTCTGATATCTCAAACAGTGAGTTCAATTGCTATTGTTCATGTTGATTTGTGGGTTTAACTAGCGATGGTGTGTAAACCAACTCCAAGGAAAAGTGTACTCAGTTGAAGAATGTATTATATTGTACATAACGACATAGCTGTCACTTTAAACGATATTGTCATATACGTCATCTTGACGTCACAGCAATGCTTTATAGCTAGATTAGGCATATTGTTTGTTTATATCATTCAGCAAATTATGACATTGACCACATCATATATGTTAATTGTAGATTCGGTGGCGGCCAGTCATATGGGGGCTGGTGATCCAGTTTTGTCTGGCTATAATCATCTTACGCACTCAGTGGGGATTTGACGCTTTTAATTTCCTCGGAGAAGAAGTTCGTGTATTCCTTGATTACACAGACGCCGGTGTAACGTTCGTATTCGGGCCGCAGTATTATCTTCACAGATTCGCCTTCAAGGTCAGTGGTGGTATTAGGTTGACTTTCTCGGACTTGACAACTCCATTTGTACTTTTTTTTTGTATTTTGTGACGGCTACGATAATATATCGTTAAGGGTGAATATGTGACTTGTGTATTTCCCTGGTCAACCAAGTTAACATCACTAAAATAGGTTTGTAACATCAGAATATTTAAATAAGCACCGCCTCGAAAAGAGGTACAACAAACCACAGTTGAACAAATAATTCAAAGAAACACCATTCACTACGTTCAATTACCCACCATAGACTCCGGTATTTTGAACATTAGGCATTAATCAGCGATTCTGCAAATAACGTGACCGAGCCCATATGGCGGCGCCATTACGGCTGAATATTCACTTTTTCTTCGCATCGAGCGGGGATGAAGTCCAGCGCTCTGCCCGGATCGCTTGCTTTTTCCTGTCCGAGTTTCTAGCTTGGGTTGTTGCCGGTGGAGCGGCATCCGACATTGTAGCAGGTAGATTTTCCTTGTAATTTTTCCCCTCGTGTCGTTTTCCCCTTTGTGTGTAGCATTTTTCACAACAAAGAGATAAAACCCGGCGTCGTAGCTTAATCATTTGTTGATTTCGTTACGTCACTTTTTCCAACTGTAATTCGCTTTCCACATGCATTTCGTCTTCATTTTGTGCTTGATCTACGTATTTAGAAATGGATAGATGTATGCAGCACCAGAAGCTCGCTGCCATTTTTTTTGTCTTCTCGGTTTTCGAGTCGACTGAGCAGTGGTTATATTCAGAATTTACCAACATATAACCCGCATCCGATATGCTTTTTGCTTTTGCTGCCTGCGGGTTCGGGGGTTTTGCCTTGAAGGCGTGTGTTTTCGCTGGAGTTCTGAGCTCTGAGAGTTTTTTTAGAGCCATCAAAATCGCTGAGACTTACTGTGTCGCTCATATTTTCACAGCAAGGTTGCACGCCCAGAAAAATCGGTTAAAGTGAGTTGCGTGTTTGGCATGAGTGGATAGTCCTCACGCTCGGCTACCAGTACTTTTTGGTCCCCTCCCCTCTGATCAGAGGGCATCCTCACAGTCTGTGTTTTCAGACGGTGGTTTACCCGATTTTACTTACTGGCTACAACGAGGCTGTGCCCCTGGAGGTCTTCCCTCCCGTTGCGGCTCCCTTTGTGGATCCTTCCTCGCAGGGCGCTGGGTTTGCCTCCCAGATGAAGGCTTTGGTCGAAGGACTGTTGGGGCAAATTGCGTCCCTGGCATGACGGGAAATGGTGGGTACAGTCTCGGAGGTTCGGAGTGCAATGAACCAGACGGTTCAGATCCAACAGCCAGTTGGCCCTGCCAGGGGTAAGCGAAAGGCACCCCAAGTCACAAAAACCCAATGCCCTAGGGCATTGTCTGCTAGCCAGAGTCAGCCAGGAGGCAAGCACTTATACCCTTCCACGGGAGGGAAAAGTAGCGGCGCACCCCCAGGGAGGAAGGAGCCAGGTGGTGGCTCACCCTCCTTGGGCAGTCGTCCACCCCAGCAGTGGGGGAAGCATGTTTGACGCTTACCTCTGCGAAGGGGGGGGGGCAGGCCAGGTCAAAACTTAGTGACTTCCACAGGCCTTGGGTAAACTCACCTCATGTGAGAAGAGAACACCCGCCCCTCGCATGTGCTGAACCCATGGCCACATATCCCTGTCGTACACAGATTGCACCAGTCTAGTCCAGTTTGAAGACAGCAGGTGACCAATCCCTGGACCTTTCTAGGTGGTGACATTCTGTTATGGGATACTGCTGAAACCTTCCTCTCCCCCGTCAGTGTCTCCACTGCCAGGGGACTCCAGCAAGGCGGAAGCAATCAGGCAGGAAGTAGCAGTTTTCTGGAAAAGGGCGCCATACACAGGGTAGATCAGTCAGCATTAAGGTAGCGAGAAGGTTTTGTGACGTTTTTAAATAAAACATTCTCTGTCTGTTGTCTCGTTCAGAACAGTAATTTAGGTTATATATATCAAAAGACTAAGTATAGAGGTGCAAGTTCGCACAAACTGGACAGACATTATTTACATAATTATCACGTG